AAAAAGGGGGCAAGAACGAAGGGGTTGATTGGGGGGGGGCGAGGGAGTTGTGGGCGGCGCGTATATCTCTCGCGATAATTAAAGGAGGCGAAACCCAGAGGGGGCGGGAGGGAGCGGAGGGGTGCAGGAGGGGCCGAGGGTGTCTTTATTGATCGAAACACCGGGACTCTTTGAACTCTTCTTTTTTTTCTTTTCGATCAGAGCGACCTAACCGCAACAAGCCGGGAAAAACGGTCTCGCGAGTGCGTTCTCTGCAAGACAGTTTCAGTGGGAGCGGTGAGGGGGTTGCTCGACTTTTTTTCGAAGCTTTTGGACTCGGGCCCGGTGAATGGATACTTGTTAGACCTGGTGACCGTCTGCACTGTCCGTGCTGACACCGGACGGCATATCGATCTGACCTTCCGACGTGCCGCGAATTGCGGGAATGAATTAACCGTCTCCTTCTCGGGCACACGTGGACGAATGTAAAATTAATCGACGATAGCTAGCCGACACAGATCGATATCTCGAACGTCGTAAAAAATATATATATATACGTCTTTAATCTTGAGGACTCGACAACGATGATTATTCAAAGCGCCACAAATCGCGACGAAGAAAAAAAAAGTTCACGATTATTACAGGTTTGCAAGGCTCCATCCGCCGGAAAAGATTTTAATTTTTTTCTTTTAGCTTTCCATAACGTAGGGACGAAGGGGCACAGTGATTATACATACACATGTGTGAAATATACGAGAAAGAAAAAGAAAGTAACAGAATAGGCCAGCGGGGGTGGGATGGACATGAAATTGACACACGTGAAATTGAAACTGACTATGGAACTCGGACAGAGTGGTAGAGTCGATCGGAGCAAAACGAAATGACAAATAAAAAAATATCGATCTGGAGATATTTCCCGGGTAACTTTGAAAAATAATTAAGACGAGGTGGAATGACGATTTTATAGCGTTATCTTACCCGATCGCTGCGATGCATGCGTGAATTAAATTAACGCGCAATGCGCAAGATGGCAAAATGATGAATTTTTCAGCCCGATTAAGCTTCGAGCTGAAAAAGTACTTTGAACTCGTAAAGCTCAAGACCCTCGCGAAATACTTATATACGTGCTTTGAGAAACAAGCAAAAAGGATCGTGCCATCTTGAACAAACTTATGGAGAGACAGGGTGAAGATGCTATGAGTATAATGATGCAGAAAATCAAAGTCTACCGTTGAAGATGTAAAAATCCAGGCTATATGTGCCGTCGAGACACGTTGAATATGTATTACACACATACATGTTTATACGTAATCGGGAAGTGAAAATAAAAATGCCAAGAAGAGCAGATATGGAGCAGATACGGAGAGAGAAAGAGAGAGAGAGAGAGATAGAGAGAGAGAGAGAGAGAGAGAGAGAAAAGAAAAGAAAAAGAACCTCGTACCTCGATGCGAGAAATTGTGAATACCGTGAAACAGATGGTCAAAGATAAAGAGAAAAAATATATAGAAAAATAGTAAATATGTATATATATTATATATATGTACACACACATATATATATTACGCGCATGGATATCATACAGAACGGATAAGATAAAGAAGAAAAGAGAGAAGAAAGAGATAGATGCGAACGTACGTACGTTCTTCTCCTACCGACGAACACGACGTTACGGATAAAGGAAAAAAAAAAAGAGAAGACGATAATAAAGAAAGAAAAATACGGAGGAAGAGAAAGAGAGATAGATAGAGAAACAGAGAGAAAGAGAAACTCGACATCGAGAAACTACTATGAAAATAGCTAAAAAATTAATGATAATCAATGAAGCTCTTAATCGTGTGACGTCTAGAAGAATCGAGCGGCGTTTCTTACCATCTGTCCGTGCAGCGAGTGAAAATGCAAACAGAAAGAGAATTCAAGATTTGTCTCTGGAAGTTACAAGAGTGAGATCGTGGGGGAGATGAGATGATAGAGACATATATTTTTTTTTTTCAACTTAACAAACTATTCTTTCGATGAATATTCGGGAAATTGCGCGCCAATCTTTCTTTTTTTCAACTTTCGCTTGAGAAGATGAATTTTATTTAAGAGAGGTCCGCGAAACATCTAATCATATGAATCGTAGGGATATCTATAAGAATATTTAGAATACGTAGAATTCGCAGGTGCCATCGAAATCGAACGATCGAAAAAATTGATGAATGGAAGTTAATTGACGGATCGATCGTGCGCGTGAAATTTGTCTGCTAGGCGAACTATAAAAAAAAAAAAAAAAAAAAAAAAACACGCTGAAGCTTCGCCACTTTCGTTCAAAATCGCGTTAAATTAAAAGCGATCGAACGAAAAATTAACGGCATGTTTCAACTTTCATCGATGCGATGAAAATGAACAGTCGAGCAATTCTTCGTAAAATTCGCGCTCACCGTTATCCAATCCGGGCGCACGTGCACGATCGATCTTCCTTTTTGGCGGAGAATGCGACGATTCATAGAACGAGGGGAAGAGGGGGGAGGGGGAGGGGCAGGGGAATCCCGATTCATTTTTCATCGTTAGATTGTGTCCAACTCTTTTCTATCGGTTCGGCAGGACATGAGGGATGAATCCACGCATTCTCCCCGTACACGAGGATGACGTGGCCTCTCTTAGATCGTGTCGGAGCTTGTAAGAGATTCCAGATATTAACGACATCTCTGGCCCGTCTCTTATCGTACACTCGTCCGTCCAGCTGTCCTCGAAGTGACGGATAAGATTGAAACCGTGTTTCATCTCTCGTCGCGGCTATCTGAGTGCATCTCGAAACGAAATGAATTTACCGAAAATGAGATTTAATCGAGAACCCGATCGAAGGAATTGAAAGAACACATCTTCCTCATACTCTAAAAATATCAATTTGGATTTAATATCATACAGTATCTGTACACAATAATTTTTTGCAATGAATTCAGAGACTGATCTTCGTTATCAGATTATATAATATTCTTATAAGAATATGCTTATTAACGTAAAAAATACTTATATTCTGCTCATAACTGCATTTCAAGATCAAAAAAGATTTCAACACGCGATTTGTAGAATCAGATATATAAATTCATATAGAAATATTTAAGCACTAAAATCCGCTTTAACCGAATATACAATTTTTCTTATTTAATTCTCATCGTGTTAATATTGTATTAACACCAACATGATTTGAGGTAGATTTAATACCATTTTGTAGTTTTAAATCCACATAAATGTTAATATAACACGGTTAGAATTATATAGATAAGCATTCATACTTTAGTTATATATCAGCAAAAATGATTACATTAATAAAAAAATTAATTGATTTCACATATTGTTTTCTAGAGACATCACGATATGTTAAATCCATACTGACATCTTTTAGAGTGCACGATTGTTTTCATGCGATTGCATAATCGCAGATCTCTAAATAAACAAACGTTTTTCTGATTTCTACGAGATGATTGAAATGAGAACGAGTGTTTCTGTCGCGTATTTAATGAACGCGATAATTCTCGTTTCGTGATTCTTTGCACGATTTTTGTATTAGATAAGTAAAACTCAGACACCGTAAAACTCAAGAATAACCCCGAAGTAAAAAGGATAAAAGAAGAGAGACTCTGATCACGATATAAGAGCGACCAGTCTGAGAGCCGATCTTGTTCGAAACATCTGCAAAGTAATAGTGTGTATACGGATTAAGGTGGGAAATAAGAGCTAGGTGATAGACATTACCTTCCTCGAGCGCGTCATCACCGTCGCTCATCAGCTCGTCGTCCGAGCAAATGTTCAGCACGTTCACCAACATTTCTGTGACTGAAAGATAAAATAAAAAATTGTCCATTAAATTCCGAGTAAAACACATCTTGCAATCGACTAAACAAATTATCTCGAAATACTTCATTTAAAAAATCAAGATATATATGTATCTCTTTTCCATCTAAATTTTACATAAATATTTTTTTTAATTTTACATAAATATTTTTTTCATATTTTTTTCTTCTAGATATATAAATCAATTTATGAATATTAGAGATGTTCTCTTCACTAAGCAAGATATATCATGTGGAAATGTACATTACAAAAGTTTGTACATAGAAACTATAAAATATACTGTTATTTTTGTGTCTAATATATATAAAGATATATTTGCATAACTAGAATTAAAAGTTTAATTTTTATAAAAACGAACAATTTTATACATTTCCACTATAAATTGTGTAACTTTTAGACATGTAATTTATATAATTTTATATAATTACTTTTTTTTTTACAGTATAAAATAATTTTTAACATAAGAGCAAACGTTTTGTTGGTCTCACCTTTCTCGCCGACAAACGGTAGGGACCATGTGAAAACGTCCATGAAATTGGGCAACCAGTATGGGTGTGGCGAGCAATTGAACTGCCTGATATTCATCACGTTGTTCTCGTACTTTAAAACCGCTGCCTGCGAGCACAACGAGCACATCGGGTCTTTACGATTGCCGACCAGCGGTCTACAGGTCATAAAACGAACAACGACGCGCCCCGCACTGACCATAAATGTGCGACATTAAATTAATGTCGAAGTTTACGGTCATTGCGACTGGCGCGATGCGATTCGTGCGCTATTGGCTTTTACCTTGTTGTTGTACACGTCGAGATAGTTGGGCGCGCTAAAGATGGTGATGAGCGACGGGAAGCCCGTCGTCTGAGACTTTCGATACATGCGATATCCGGCGTCTTGAGCCTCGTGCGCCCTTATGATGCTGAGCAAATTGTTGTTTTGCAGAAAGTCGCAACATGCCGCGTAACTGCAAGCAGACATTATCGATCGATCGTTTAAAGATTGGGAGAGAGCTTGATTGCCGATAATTACTGTTAAGAGAATTATCCGAGCGTACGAGCGGGCACGTTAACTCGCTTATATTATTAAATGTATTTAGCACTAATGAATAACATGGAATAACATGGAAATTGCCGTGGTAGCGTAAATGACTCGGCCTATAAATATTTTAATAGAACGCCAAAATTTTTTACATTTTAAAAGAATACTTTCTAAGTAAATTCCATAACAAAAGGAAGATGTTAAATTTTTCGTTTAATCTGAAAAAGTTCTACGATGTGCAAATTATATGTATAGCATATTAATTATAATTAATAGTTTAATAATTAACGGATTATTTAAGCGAAATTGAGAATCTATCGTTTATCTGGTGGAAACATCAGGAATATGAGAGAAATCGATAAAAAATAATAAATTTAACTCTATCACATTTACTAATAAAAAGTTGTTGAGTAAGACATCAAGATATCCCGGGAATTAAGCAACAAGAATTGTATTATTACTTAAATTCGAATAACTTGGCGAATAATTTTTGAGCAATTGATGAGCGACAGAAAGTCCGAATTATTTTTAATAATTTTTATAAGTCACCACTGTTCCTACCTAATAATTGAACTAAAACAGAGTTAAAACAAATTAACTCAAGAGAATGTAATTGGACTAAAATTTAATTTATTATTTATTAAGTTTAAACGTTAATATAAACGATGTTTATTTTGAAAACTTATTATAGAAATGAATTGATTTACATTTTGACACAGATGGAAGTTAAAAATAACAAAATGTTATTTAACTCAAGGGGTTATTTTGATTCCATTGTTCCTTTGATATTTAACGGTGTAAAACAATGAACTTTCGACATTTTTCGCCTCTGGGATGTAAAAATATCCCAGTTTAAGTAGCTCTTTAGTATGATGTATAATTTGTATACCATGGAATTTTTTCATGTTAGCCGAAAACAGCCAAAACTTAATATTCTCCTTTGAAGCGTATAAGTTTCATAAGCGTTCGTGAGGCAGCCACTATTCGACGCGCGAATATTCATGTCGGGAAATTCGTGTATCTTAAAATCGCGACCTAGATTAACGTCGTAACGCGTTTTTGGCACATGCATTGGAAACAATTGCACAGGCGCCAAATGATCAATCTTAACTTGTCGAGAACGACTCGTACAACTTTTTGTATGCAATTCTGTGAATTTATATAAAATTGTTGGAGTGTTCTAAATATTGTATAGTCGAGTTAATTTCTGAGATTACTCGAAGCTTCGGCATCAGATTGCTACGTTCGCTGTTAATGCAAGTTAGAGGTATTCGAGTCTTTTATGCGATGTAGCTTTTAATGTCCATCCATCCCTGCCAATCGTACACTGGATGACGGACATTATTGGCGTACCGACTTTCGAGTTCACATAAACAAATTATGCCGCCGAAAACGTCAGCAGGACGACCCTTTCGCAGTGGCATAACTGACTCGGCCAAGAATCGTGAGAAATGTTTGCGCCACGTCGTGGCATGGTCGTTAACGGCCATTAAGACCCGTTCATAGCGCCGACAGAGATTAATGACGAGGTGAAATCTCTCGAAAACCGCGCCGCTCGCCAATGTGCTCGCCCGGTATCGATCTTTGGGTCATTGTATCTCTGATACGCACACATCTCGAATGCGACGATAAGATGATTTATTTAACGATAGGACATTATATTGCAGTGCGCAAGATATGTTCCGTTCTCTCGTCGTAACAGCGTACAGCCACTTCGGGTCATTAAGGGATGGCAGGGAGTAATCAGCAGCTTCATTACGAGTCAGACGTTGGAGGGAGGAAGGGTGAGTGGTACGAGTCGCGGTGTAGTCGGACGACCGCCGGCGATTACAGCCGGACTACTTGCATACTGCTCGAGACGCGAGATGTGATTTATGTTCGCGTGAAACTTAATGCACGTATCTATCCAGGAACGAGACACGATAATGCGAGAATCGAAAATAAGGGATTAACGGACTGGTGCTATCTAGAACGTCTTCATAACGGCCACTATTATCTTATCGTGATCACGATTGCCTGTGCTACATTCACGTATATATCAATGAACAACTTGATTATGAAAATTACCTCAATAAATCAGCTTTCTAACATTCCTGCCGCTGTTACTCAAAAAATACCGACACGTACACGGCTTCAGTTTCGCTGAAGTATCTAAAAAATTAACTAGACGCAGATTTGAAAATAATTTTGTTGATCTTTCAAAATAATTATGTAGAACGTTCAAACTGATTATTAAAATGTCAAAATTATTTGCAGCATCGTTTATCTTGCTTGAGTTTCCTACATAATTATTTTAATAATCGAATAAAGAAATTATTTTCAGATTTGTATCTAGTTAAATTTTTAGATGCTTCAGCAAAATCATTCTTTCCGTGCACAATTCTTTGATGACGTAACGTGCCACGTCAACATTAAATTATAGAGAAATATAAGAAAATAAAAGTAAAATAACAATTCAGTAAAAACATAATATTAAAAAATTTAAATTAAAAATTAAAGACTTAATAATTAAAGTTTAAAATAATATTAATTATAAACTAATATAACTGACACATTATTAGTAAATATTAATAAAAAGTATAACAGAAAAAACAGATTACATATTTTGATTTATTCTTATTATGTATATGTAGAGTGCACTGTATGTAGTGATTTAAAGACTTTTAAATTAGTAAAATACTCTGTTATTTACGCTATAATTAATTCCATATTTTGAAAAAGCTGTCAGGAAGCGCCATGTCAAGTATAAAACTACAACAGTTAAAACAGAATACAACACTTAAATACAGAATTTAATATCAAACTACAACAGTTAAAACAGCTTAAATACAGAATTTTTTGTAATATTATATTAAAAATGTGAGTAGAGGAACAGTAATTTGGCATCTCCCGACGTGTACATTTGTACACGATGCCAGAAATCGCTTTGAGATCTGAATGGAAAAGAATTTATTAAAAAATGCTTTAAAGAATTTATTAATTGCATTCATCAATGGTCGAATTGTTCAAATGCAGTATATAATTTCTTCTCCATCTAAAAGATTTTTAAGATCGTGGACACAAGGAGGCTTAAACTAATTTATTTTGTACTACTTGTTACTTCGAAATGTCTTACAATTGTGAATCATTAAAATTTTCTACGTAAATGCTTTCAATGCATATAATTAGTATAATAATTTTATTTCTTAACTCATTAAATAGCCAATGAGAGAATGTATAAATAAAATATCATTTTTCTATTTTTTTAAAACAAAACAATTAATAATAATTATATATTGGAAAAGGAAATTGATTGCATCAATTGAAATGAACAAATCAGAATTTTTTTCTGATTGACTCTATTATAATTCTATTTAAATAACTAGAATTCTGATTGATATGACTAGAATCTTCTGATTTGTTCGTTTTCAATTAGAAACTTTTTTCACTGTGCGTTTTAAACTATTTTAAACTAAGTTTGGTTAATAAAAAAAACTTGTATGTAGAAATTGATATGATCAGATTGTACTGTAGTTACCAACAAATAAGATAACAATTAACAATCGAATCGAGTGAAACAATCAGTGAAACGCATATAAACTTTTCATTATTCTTTTTGTTGCGCTAACATTTGGCAACAATCGGGAATGATAATAAAGATATTTAATACTAATTTGTTACTGAAGATCGCAAAAGATCGCGGAGAGATATAAAACGCGTTTTTCCACAATTTAATCTATTACAGTTCACTTCGTCAACGTATATGACGTACATAAACGTGATGAACGAATACGTAGCATTGAGTACGCGAAACGGCTGACACTTAACGAATCTCAGTTCTCATTAGCGTGGCCGTTCATATAATTAGCGAATCTGCGAGAGAAGCTGTCATGTCTGCGGTTTGCTGACATCGTCGTATAACACGGTCGTTATTAATCCTCGCACGGGGCAAACCACGGGTGTGTCCGCGGACACTGACAAAGAGCGACGCGACGAGGGACCGAACGTGACGTTTGTAGGAAGATTTGGTGGAGAAGGAAAATCTCTCAGATACAGAAGGGTCGGAGGAGCCAAAGTTACCTCGTTTCACGCTGTGTGATCGTGCGAGGGATGTGGCCAACGCGCTTCCGGCTGCACTGCTCGCAAACAGACGGCGAGATAATTAACCGTTGGAGGGAGTTAACGGGTTGGCTAGAAAGGAAAAACGAGAACCGGCCGGCGACAGCCGCGAGATGTATCGCACAAGCATATCGTATTTCTACGGCAAAAAGAACTCCCAACTACTACCGAGTAGTGATGGGGTGTTGACCTCGTTTTTTTTTCTCCGCTAATATGTCCTTTATTATTACGTTAACACCGTGGTATCGACGTGTCCCTCCGATATATCGACGACCCCGACGAAAAGTATTGTAATTGCATTTTCTGATATTTCCAATTTTATTGGATCCTTTTTTAAATACTTTTTTTTATTGGCAGTATGACTTAATGAAATATCGTTATTTCAACCCAGATAATTTTGTTTTGTTATAACTGATAAATAAAATACTTTTGGAAAGAAAAAGCTGTTGTATACATGTTTCTTAAATTTCTTTTGTCAATTATTCGACTTAATTTAGACATTAATTATATATTTTACAGGAGATTTTTACAGGAGTAGTCTTCCGAAAATAAGTTTTCTGAAAAGAGTTCAGAGACAAAAAAAGATATCATAATATGATCAGTTATTTATCATTGTTTCAGTTAGCTTAAAATAGACTTTATTTTAATAAAGTTTTAATTCGAGACTAGATATGTAGGACGTTCAAATTGGTTGTTGGAATATTGAACCTTTTTGCAGCATTGTTATCGACGTTTAAGAATTTTATATAATTATTTTGATGATTTAGCAAAATTATTTTCAAGTCTATATTTAGTCAAATTTTTAGATACCTTAGCAGCAAAATCATTCTTTACTGATATGATATTTAATCTACAGTGCTTTTCTCCACTTCAGAAAAATTCCATTCACAGAATATAATTAAAAAAATATATATATAAAACATTGAAATAAATTAGAAAAATCCAATTCTGCACGTCCAAATTTTCCTAGTCGTATGTTAGAATTTCTATTACGCATGTTACCGGTAACAAGTTAAAAGAATTTAAAAAGAGGTTGAAACGGGCACTCACCTGTAAAAGTATGAACAACCCCTGACACTATTGTGGGAAAAGTGCTCCGCGTTCTTCTCATTGCCAAAGTCCTCGAGAGGATCCGACCAGAGGAGATCACACATTGGCCCGAACGCCGGCGGCTCTTTGAACCTGTCCAGCTGGAACAGCAAGTCAACATTGATCGAATTAGTTCAAGGAATTAACTGATAGCACATCGACTGACGCAAACGCAGCGTAATTTTCAGCGTAATTGTATGGCCCATTGTCGGCTTTACCGAATTCACGATGGATTGGTCAGTCAGTTTGCACTTTGGATCGTATCCTATTCGAAGGTTTAGTTGGCCATTATACGTTACACGCAAAATTTATGTGGTACTGATTGGTCCTGGTTAATCATGACGGCTTCATTTATGTCGATCGCATCAGTATGTCATTTTTAGTGAGATCCTAAAGTAAAGCCAATTATCGACATTTCGTAATTCTAAAACATCTTCGTCTTTACAGAAAATGCCAAATTCTTGTACATGATTAAAATACGGAAAAATAGCTATTACAAACATCGACTTGTCATTCAACAACAATTATCTGCTTAATATAAAAATTCTACAATTTATACATACGAAATAAAGTGGTCTCGCCATAGAGATAATATATAATACATGGACACTATCGTAATAGAATTAAGATTAAGTTTAGAAAAAAAGAATTATGTTTTATAAATGTAAATAGAGCAATAATATATTGCATACAATAGTGATGCTGCAAGATCTTGCAAGATATAGCACTGCATGCAGTATATTAGATAAGAACAAATGTTTGAATAAGACAAAATGATAATGTAAGAAACAGAATTAAAAACATCACTATTATCGATATTTTTAGTTTGAAATTAAAATCTGTTTTATCGACATTGTTAGAGTTTGGCCTTTGCTTTAGAATCACCTTAACGTTTAATTTCGATTTTGCGAAATCACTGTCACAGCGGACTTACATTGCCACTTTGATGACTCCTCGATAGTTGCAAGATATCTTGATGTCTAAAAGAGAGAGGAATAACCGATAATCTGAACTCGGAATTGAATTATAATTTGACAGCGATTTGACAGCGTCGAAACGTGTATCGAACGCCACAAAGTCTCGAGGGCGGTAACTCTGCTGCGAGTTTACGTATCACGACAGCGCCAAACAAGGTAAACGTAAGCCGGATCGTCTGCAGATTGCATTAATTAGGCTACCGAGCTTGACAACAATGTGCTCACCGCGGATTTCCAAATGTCTATTGGTTGCCACTAAATCGGTAAGTACTGAAATCCAATATTCAATGTTAGAATGGCAACGGACAGATGCTATCGCACTGATCTTACTCGACACTTATTTGACATCACGTTACATATATCTCTCCCTTAGTTCAAAAGTGACGTAACTCAAAAATTCAGTTTCTTAGAAAAGGAGAAAAACTATTTTTCAATTTAATAGAAGATTATTGAGTAATCAAATAATATCGGCAAAAAATTTTCTCAACTTCATGATCAAATATCATTTTCGTTTCACAACTCGTAAAGTTAATCTATAATATAATATGTTGTTTCTTTCTATTGTTTGCTTTTTTCTCTCCTCGTTTTCTTGTCACGTGTCTTCCAAAATTCGTCAACTTTCTTGGACGACAGAAAACAAAGAATAATATTGCTAGAAATGTGATAACTAATCAGTATGATACTTTATCTCCAAGTACCGTGTTTAATATTCAAAGAATTCATAGAAAAAATTAATAATTGTTGGAATTTCGTTTTCAAATTGGAACCTGCGAAAAGTGATAATATTTATTGTTTCCTTCTACTTTAGAGAAGGATGTACCAGATTCGCAAAGTTACCATAAGCCCGTATCAGACTACCGATTCTGCAAGCCGACCCAACTGCCAACTCTGACTGCCGACCAATAATGGACCAATCCTATTGAATCAGTCTTATTGTACTTGGTTGGTCTTATTGGTCCAGTTGGCTTACAAAGTCGGTAGTCTAATATGCTATATACTATATACTTTCAGTTTTGGTTTTTATAATTATTTTTATGTACAATGAAAAATGCTAATTGTAATTGTTTTTTTATATTAATATAAATGTCATGCAAATTTCACAGATCCCAATCCCGCAGAGGAATTATTTATTTGACAGACACTGAGCAGACGACGAAACTCCGAAAGTCATGAAGCATTCACAAACATGGCGCGATTTATTCTCGGACCGCACCGAGAGTCGATGTTAAGACTCGAAAACTTAGATAGCGAAATTTCGCTCTACGGACGAGCAGGTTTTCATGCGGAGTGGATATCGAAGAGCATGGAGGATGAAGAGAGCACGCAAAGACAGAGTCTCGTCGCAACGAGAGCTCTCAAATATTTGTTTCCGTTGATCTAATCTCGCTGAGAAAAGTCCGCCGGCGCGATCTCGTATCCATCAACTCGGCTACCTTCGGAAATCGCGTTTAATGACTTCCATGAATATGAATGACTTCGAGAGAAGAGTTAGATAGGTATTTCGCGCTACGCGGAACGTCTCGTCATCGCAAACACACTCCCCTCTCTTTCTCTTTCACTGTTTTTCTTGGGATGCAATCAACGCAAATAAAATATTGAGAATCAACATTGCGAGATTCGGTTTATGTTATTTAAACCTAGAATGTTATTGATACTAAATTTTATGTAGATGTGAGTAAGGTCGCTAAACTATGTTTTTAATCATTACGAAGATCTGATCTGCCATGTCAAAAACCAGGACAAGTGGAGACAAAAAAATTCTATTTTTTTAAATTCTGTTCGTTATATGTCAGTTTGGATTCCCTAATGGTCGGTATTATAACAGAAAGCGTGAGTTTTAATTTTTAAGCAGTTTTTTGTGTTATCATATATTTTATTTAACTGTTATGAGGAGACACGCACATAACTGGACTACATATCTACTTCATATTACTTTAAGATTAAATTTTATAATTCGTTCTTTCTTTTTAAGTTGATAAATAAGTTATTGTATTTATAAATTTGTATTTAGATTATAAATATTAGATCATTAAATGTGTGAAGTGTATGAAAAACTTGTGTTACATTAATTAAAAATGACCTTATACGTAAAATTACATGTTGATAGCATATAATTCAATAACAATAACATTCGGAGGATTAAATTTTGTTTTTTTTTTCGCAATTCCATTGGAATTTTCCATATGTAAAGTACGAAGCTTTAGTTTTATTTTTCATAGAATGATATCGATTCTCAGTTTGTTTCGCAATATCATTACGATTCGACCGCTTAATAAGTTTTATTAAAAATTTTTCTTCAAATTCTATGTGCGTATTTTCCACTCGCATAAAATAATTCCGTATAGTCCTGCAAACGACATAGGAATAATTTAAAATGCAACGATTAAAGTCAGTTTTGGCGGTGCATTCATTCACCAAATATTTAATCGAAATAATGTTAAATATTTCTTGTAAATGAAGTGTATAGTGTAAAACATTTAATCGTAATCGAGCTAAATGGTAAAAGTGTTAATGCTTGCTCTCAAATTCATCATAAATACATATGATAGAAATTAATTTTTGATTTGGCTACGTTATTGATTATCATCTGTATACCATAATTTCATATACCATCATCTGCATCTTTGGATCTTTGTTGACACAAGCAAAATTTCACTCTCGAATTTCTTGTAAATAAAGGAGAACAGAATCTGTTTTCTCTCCTAAAATATCTTGTAAATATCTTGTAATACACTGAGGGAAAAATATATTAAATTTTAACAAATATTTGTTTGAATAATACCAGCTAAATATTTACTAAATATAAACGTATATTTACTTGGTACAAAAATCAATTAATTTAACTATCACTTTTTTATTTCGTGAATGTTTATTGTAAATAAATGTTAAATTAAATTGATACTATTCAAATAAATATTTGTTAAAATTTAATACATTTTTTCTCAATGTAGAGATATTGAAAAGTAATTCTCAACTTCCCATATTTTTTGAAAGTTCTATAACAGTAAAAAAAAACGTGGATTAGACAAAAAAGATCCGGACGCAGATAGAGAATGAAAATATGATTGCAGGCGGCGAGTTAATAACACAAAGATAGAAAATTAAAAACGATATTGGGAACATCAATCGATTTTCCATTTCCTTAAAAAAGCGCGAAACGGCTGTAAAAGAAATTATCTTTCGCTATCTATAGCTTGAAAAAAATTGATAAAATTTAATGGAACCTTCGAATTACTCCTAAACGTAAGTCTACTATCGACGCCGGATTCATCTTCCACGATTAGCCGAATCGAAGTTGCACGATGTGATCTTGATGTCGGCTACGAGTTTACGCTTTCTACGTAACAGGTAGCGTAATTACGTCGAATGGGTTCGCATTAATTCGCGACCCGTTTCCGCGTGTACACATACAACACACGCGGGTGTATTGGGCGCTTATTACGATATAATGAGCAGTTAGTGCACGATAATGACAGCAGCTACATTAAGTGAAGCGAGCGTGCCTTATGCCTCCTATCATGTTTGCAGCGTCTATTATAATGATACGTACTCTCGTGCAGCCTTGTCGTCTTTCACATTATTTTATGTATACCAATCTTAAATTTCGTAACTATATAAAAGGTAAATGTATCTTGAAATGCTACGCGACGTAGCGAGATCTGATTGCAGCGTGTCTCTATTGAATTTGAAATGCTCCATTATATTTAGATTATTCACACATAATATGGAATCGGATTTTCAGCGTTATCTTTCGAAACGTGCAATCCGACTATCGCTGTAACGAAATACAGAATTTTCTGACTGTTTATGTATGGGTCATCATTTGTCGTAATTTCTTAATTTTTTTCAATATACTGTCAGCAAACGGCAAATCATTATTCTTTATTCTGTTAAAATGTGGAACATTCCGTTGATCACGCTAGTTCGTTAAACATTAATTAATGAAAATACGAGGCTCCCGGGCCAAATTGCGGTCGCCGCAATGGCGCACTCGCGGAGAAGAACGGGAGAGGAATGGAAGCAACGATGAAGAGAAAGAACAGAGAGAGAGAGAGAGAGAGAGAGAGAGAGAGAGAGAGAGAGACAGAGGAGATGAGTGGAGGAGTGTAGACTTAGGGATGAAA